GTGTGTGTGTGTGTGTGTGTGTGTACGTGCATGCATGTGTGTGTGCCTTGGTGCACACATGCCCCGTGTACAGAGTTCTCCCCACCTCCCTGCCTTTTGAAGGTGAACTGAAATTATGCACTTGTAAACAAGCGACATAGCTTTATGTTGTTAATCTGTTGTTAACTTCGTTTTAAAGGCTTTATAATATACTCAGGAAATGCACCCTTTAAGGTTGACCATGCACCAAGAGTTAGTGAGGTCCTTTAGAAACAGAGCTGGTACTAACATCTTCCATTGATCGGTAGATACACAAAGCTCAGCTCCAAACCCAGACCGCAGATGGTTTCTGTGCTTTGGCAAGATTTCCAGGTGACTTCTGTCACATTAACACTTGAGTGGCTCTGTCTAGAAGATAAATGTGGTGGCTATGACCTAATCATGGTTTTATTCCTTACTGTGGGAACTTGAGCATTTTTTTATGTTTACTTAGCTCTTTGTATATTATGTAATTGGGTCCTCAGAACAATCTCACGAGGCAGGCAAGTATTACTCACTGGGCTGTTCATCTAAACGTTTGTGCCTGTTTCCCTGTCATAAAAATTAAGCCAAATATTTATAATGAATTCCCATGAAGTAGAAGGCTTGCAATGAGAATCATCTACCTGGTTCATAGAGTCATTTCGTTGCAAGTGGTGGTAAAATGAGTTCTATCCAGTAATATTGCCTTTACCTTTCCAGAGTTTTGACACAGCAAGGATGCCATGACATCTGTAGGGACCGCCCATGTATAAGCGTGGCCGTTTTCTCTCAGACTCCCTCAAACAAGTGCTCTGTGTAGTTTCAAACCCATCCAGATCTACTCAAACATTGGATGTCTTAAGATTTTTGAAACCACAATCTCAGCCAAACATTTCAGGCATCAAGGCAGTTGAAATGCTAAGAGTTGTTAGCATAATTTATAAATGGATCCATTTACTGACTTTAAACTTCATGATTTACAGTTTGATGTGTAAGTCTGTTCAAATACTTAATACATATAACTGGATTCTGCTGTAGCAGACACAGAGAGAGGATTTTGTTAATCTTGTATCAGAAAGGGGAATGCATATGTGATGCAGCCAGCTTCTCCTGAAAGGCTGCTGCTGAAACAATAGTGCATCAACCAGAACGTTGACAGCTTTAGATTTGGCTCAGATCTTCCTAAATTTAGATATAATTTAGCATCCTACCAAGCTGGGTTTGGTGGCATACACCTGTAATCCCAGTACTTGGAATGCTGAGGCAGGAGGTCACTGGGCGTTTGAGGCCAGCCTTGGCTGCAAAGTGAGTTCAAGGCTAGCCTAAACTGTAGTCAGTTTAGTGAAACCTTGTCTCAAAACAACAACAACAACAACAACAACAACAAAATTCTATCAATCAGGCAAAAGAATCTGATCAGTTACCTCTGTTATGTTATCAGTCATCATTTCAGGAGAGCTGCTTGATGGTAGATCTCCAGAACTTGAAGATGTGTGGCAGGGACTCGGGATGGTATAGTGCTTATCGATACCCATATAGTATGGGTTTTTTTCTCTCCCTCTCTCTCTCTGATGACTATTAGGTTCCTATACTAAAAGCAACAAGTCATTCCAACACCTTCCTTCAGGTAGAATTTTCATATATAGATTTCCTAATAAGTTTCTATGGCAGCTATGTTTTACTTAAGCCTTCCTTCTAAGTCCCGTGTTAAACTTACATATGATCCTTGTTTGACTAGGAATTGAATTTTAAGGGCATAGGCACTTTTTGTTAGAAATGCTAAGGGACATTATCTGTAGGGCTGATGAAAACACTGTCTGGTGTTTCAGGCATTATGATGATAGACTTACACTACTCAGTAGTGATTTCTGTTATACCGTTTCTTTTCATGGAACCTGTTGCAGACATTATAGCGCTGTGGCTTGTGACTAAGGAGAGTCCCACAAAGAGAACTTTATATCCAATTTGGCTTAGCTATGACTAATAGTTAAGGAGAAAAATAGTTTTTCCATTTGGAAGAATAGTTGCCAACTTAACTAAAGGAAAGATATAAACCAAATTTATATGACTTAATCTTTTTTTGGGGGGGGGTGGTCTGGGAATTGAGCTCAGGACCTTGCACTTTCCAGGCAGGTGCTTGTGCCACTGAGCTATATCCCCAGCCCAATGTGAAAGAATTTTAATTTTAATTTTATCCTGGTGGCTCAAGGATTTAAATTGTCTTTGTCTATAGAGCTCAATCAAAGCTTTGTGCCTACTGACATTTCTAGAAACACTGCAATTCTTGACTTCATCCTGAACTAACTGTTGATTCACACCAATAGTAGATGAGTGGGTAAGCCCATTGTCAGAGAGGGTCAAGTTGCTGACAGGGACACTATATCACTTATGAGTTAGGTCTAGAAAAATGCCAGGTTTAGCAAGGTTCATGCTAAAAGTTTCTGACTTAGCTAACATTTTACTAGGTGTCTATATCAGTTTTAGGTATGCTCTTCTACTCTCTTATACATTAGGGAGCTGTGTGTTCCTACAACACAACAGCAGGCAGCTGA